GCTGCAACTGCCATTAAACGGTGAAAAACAGTTGTAAGTCACTTTTTTCAGTGCAGTTGTAACTTTGGATGGTCACTAAAAGAACCGTTGTAAATCAAGGACTACTTGTACCACTGCCTATCCCTGCTGTAGCCTGCTGCCCCCCCCCCAACTGACCTTTACCATCATCTTCCTTCCCCATTCAATAGCCACTCCTAGGGGTAGGGGACAGCGGAACGCAGGCCAGCCAAAAGGGCAGGGATGTGGGGAAGATAGGCAGCTATTGCGAAGGGCCAGGATCTGCCTTTCAACAAAAAAAACCACAACACCACTTCTGGAAGCATAACACTGCCCACTGTACAGGTAGTCCTTGACTGACAACCACAATCGAGCCACAAATTTCCATCGCTAAGCGAGACGGACGCTAAGCGAGTTTTGCCCCATTTTATGACCTTTTCTTTCTTGCCACCGTTGTTAAGCAAATCACTGCAGTTGTTAAGCGAGCAACACGGATGTTAAGTGAAGCTGGCCTGCCCATTGACTTGGCTGGTCGGGTGGCCAAGCATGATCACATAATCCTGGGACACTGCAGACGTCATAAATACGAAACCAGCTGCCAAGCATCCAAAACTTTGGGGATGCTGCAGTGGTCATGGGAACAGCGTCTATAAGTCACTCTTTTTTCAGTGGATCTGTAACTATGAGCAGTTGCAAGTTGAGAATGAACTGTACCGTTAATACTGCAGAATTGGGCCATAGCAGGTAAAAAACCAAACTGGGCAATTAGGTATACCTAAAAATGTTAAGTTTTAGCAATACACAAGACTGCTATTCCTAAAAGTAGTCCTTGCCACCGGCACAGAACGAGCGCACTTCGAATTAACAATGGCATTATATGTATCTATCCTGTATCTAGCTATCAGACAGAAACCAGACTTTTTCAATATAGCAAAAGCTCTCCTACGCCAAAACAAACAGGTAGGTAGATATGTGAGCATATTTACCTTTTCACTTTAGATTAGCTTTTCGCGGGACTAACACTGATTTCAAGAACCTTTTAAGGATAACTGCTTTAACACAATCACATAGCAAGCTTAGATCTAGTTAGTTTTGATGCTGCCCTCCCGAGTCCATGAACTACATTTTGTAGTTTTACTCACACAGCAAACTGTCATTGCCATTGAAGTTAAAGAGATCATGGAACAAAGCAGATTTACTGTATATTTTTTACAAATTGCAATAGGTCAGCTCAAGCTGTTGTGTATTTTGGGGTACAACAGTGAAAAATGATTTGACTATTTATTCTTCCCTCTTGAGTGACCAACAGAGTAACTGATAGAGGGTAGGACTGGGTTCTATTGACTATTTTTTCCATTAAAGATGATTAATTTTCCACAAACACGACTTTATGGAAAGTCAATGCAATATATTTTATTGATTAACCATTAGGACACATCAGAGCATAATATATTAATACAAGCAACAGTAGTACTATGGCTGGTGATCAAGTCTTGCCAAATATCAAACTATGCAAATTTGATAGGTTCAATTGTTAATAAAGTTTTAAAGGTCAAAACAATCAAAGATTGTGACAAGAAACTTGTTTGCAAGGGAGGCTTAAGGCAGTTCAACCATGCATTTTCCATATAATACCATAATAGAGTGGAATGAAAGTCCAGTTAACAAATGGCCATTCCAAAGCTCTTTATAAATTTGTAATTCATGTATCACCAATAATTAAAACTGAGAACAAGATGGAGACTGACAGAATTTTAAGTAACCAGCTCTTAAAACCAAGAACAAAATGGAGACTAACAGAATTTTAAGTAACCAGCTCTAGTCTTGGTCATACTGTGTATCCTAATATGCCCATTTGCTTGATATTTTTTTTATGTTTTAGATGCCACTTAATTAAGGTCACTAAAATGATAAAATGTTCCTGTAGTTATGGTTAACCTTTCCTTAGTTCCAAGGCTAAAATGAGCATTGAACACACACACACCAGCTACTTCCGGTATTACAAAAAGCCTTGCTACTTTCAGAGGCATCAAAGATCCCTTAAAAAAAAAAACAAGTTAAAAGAACCGAAGACTTCTGTCTGCCAACCAGGCAAGTTGGAAAAGCAAACCGACGAAGCACGACTTTCAAAAAAAAAGAAAAAAAATCAAGAAAGCCACTTCTCCACCCTATTCCACGCAACGTAGCACTTAACTGCAAGGAATTTGCCTGCAGCCAAGAGTGACTTTTTTGTCTCCTTGCAAATCCACCAAAGGCCTTTTTTTGCACACGCGGATGCACAA